ATTAAAATAAATATGATTTAATTTTTATTACCTGAGATAAAAAAAGATATTGGTTTCCAAAGTATTTTTAATAAAATGATAAATCTAGTCTATCAATTGCAAATGCAGTTTATTAAAAAATTCTCATTAAAAAACTTCTTTTCACCGATTCAATTATAATTATTGGGTTGTCCAGAAAATTCGTGCCGATATTGAAGGAAAATTGAAACGCAGAAAATTTTAATTTAATAAATGTATACTAAAATTTAAATTTTAGTCGGCACGAACTTTTCGGACAACTCAATATTTATTGAAAAATATTTCTATTCAAACATAGTTTGCAAACATTTTTATCACGTGTTTTCTTGCTTTCGACGTCATATTCTGAGATAATAGTGATAAATAAATAGAAGCCCACACTTCAATTATTTCTTAATCAGGACCTGCACTGATTTGATGTTTTTATGATGAGGACATAAACTATGCTTAAAGTGAAGAAAAACGCATGTATCAAAGTTACATGTTTTCATGTTTTTTAAATAAATATTAAATAATTATATTGTATTATTAGCTTCCTTCTCCTAAGACTAATAATAACATATCATTAAATAAAAAAAAATTCTAAAGTTTCCTTTACACTTTTCGATCTTCGCTACCTCAATTTCATTTTAGCGAAACTGTCTATATCGTACTCGATCAGACATGCGAAGTAAAGTGACGGTAAGGATATCAACGAATGCGAATCGGCACAACTGATTGTCCCATCAGCAAGATCGAACGATCGCGGCTCTTTAGAACGAATCGGGAGGGTTTCTTACACGTCATATTATGGTGTCAACGACTTCATCGTGGACCACAAACCGCTGGCATCCGTGTATCGAGAATGAATGGCGTCGCGACGGGTGGCAGGGAGGCACATACAATTCGAATAAAATGTATCAATTCTGTCCTCATGACGCCGGGGTTCCTTTCCTCGAGGATCGATTGTGCGTTCCTTGAAGGAAGGAAGTCCTGCAACGGACAACAACTATTATTAATACGCGATATTATTCAATTATGCGAATTATAACGATGGAACAAGCTTAATAAATATTGTAACATTCTATAAATATTATAATATTCTATAGCGTAAGAATTTTATTCATTATGTTCTAATGTTCATTTTTATCAATTTGAATCAATATTAATCTTGATTTAATTTAATCTTTATCTTTTCAGAATTTTCAGAATTAGAAAATAAAAAAGTGAAGTTAGCATTTTTATAGGACGAGAAAGTCATTGTAGTGTAAAACATATTTTGAAGCAAGAAATACAATGAAAATAATGAATTACAATGAATGTTACACATAATACTGTAAGATTTAAAAATGGATCTTATTTTTTAAAGGTCTATCTATAATATATTGATAAAAATGAATTAACAGAAAATTTTTTCTTATATCTTAAGCAATTATAACTTTGTATCGAATCTTTTATATCAATAACAGTATTAACACACATATATGCACGTGAATGCAGGGGAGATTAGATATAACTAAGAAGATTATAATCGCTTGATAGTCGTTCATTTAAAGATATACGTACTGTATCCATCGACGCTACATCGCCGTCGATACATCACGATGGAAGTAAAATTCTGCATTACACGATTTATTCGATTACAATTACACACAAACCTCCTTTCATATTTTTATTGTTAGCTATGCATCGTTTAACACATTATTACACAAAGAGAGAGACAGGTCAATGCATCTTCGTGTTGCAACTCATAATGCAACTTCGTAATGCAACCACAATGCGAAATAGCAGAATTGGTGAACACAAGTTAAAACAGAAAATTCTGTATTCTTGTGTTCGTCCTTTTTTTACGTTCCAATATTGCGTTGTCAAACTAAAATAAGGATAGAAAGGACAGAAAGGAAAGAAAGGGCGGAAGGGTTCAGATGTGTTCCTTACCAGATGAAAAACGTCAGTCCCATGTCAGTTTCTTCGCAAGCGGAGCAAGCAAATCAAACGACATCCTCTCATCTAGGGTTTAGACGCATTATTTTAGGTATATTTTTTTAAAGATATGGAGAAAAATATTAAAAAAAACAATGTATTGCGACGTTTTCCTGTTTGCAGTTTTTATTGTATTGTAATTCGTAAACATACATCAGTTTTAGTAAAAAAACAAACTTTATTTACTTTATTTACTCTACAGTGCAACTTTATATTTACTTTACAGTTACAATAGAACAAAGCTACTGAGAAGTTTTAAAAAATTCCGTTGTAGACAGGTTGTAGTTTCACACCAGAAAATATTTATCTTGTCAACTTCGCAACTAGATAATGATTTTATCTTTCTAAAACTGGAAGCTCTATACAATAAATTTAAATTTATACTTGATTGCCGTAGAATTTTGTCATTAGAATAAGAATAAAAACTAAAAAAATTTGTTTTTTTTTGTAAAATTGTAATATCGTGTTTGCAATTATTTATTTGAAATTGAAAGAAATTTATTTGTCAAATTCAAACAGAGAAAATATCAATTTATAACTAAATATAAAAAAATGTTAAAATTAAAAATGGTAAATTTTTAAATTTATTTTTATCACGTTTTTGAAAAAATTAAATATATAGTTTTCACGTAAAAATAAAATTAATTAAACACTTTTATATAACGTTGGTATAAGAAAAGATTTACACTTTTAAAAAATACTACTTAATATTTCTTTTTTATATGATTCTTTTAAAAATAGTTACCTTTGTATAAAGAAATTCTGCAAGATTTGCAGATGAAATATTTTTTTCATTATATATATTACTTAAAACGCTTTAAAATCACAAGATGATTATTTTGATTTTTTATATTCTATGCTAAAATATATTTTGAAAAAAATTCATTTAATTTTTTAGTCAACAGTATAACTACAATTCTATTTAAATAATTTATTTTTTACTAATTTAAACTTAAAATTAAAGAGAGAGAGAGAGACATCAGCACCCAGTCAAAGATTTTAAAAAGATGTATTATTACCTTAATGCGGTAATCAACTACATTTTATAAAAAGATGTACTAATATGTTAGCGACTGCGAATATGTTAATTTCTCTGTAATTATTTCTATTTTACTTTTTATTTTCAATTTATTTTTATAATCTTTGCCATAATTAATTTGTTTCTATAAAGGATTAATAAAAATCAGTGCAAAAGGAATATAAAATTTTTATTCTAATGTTAATTAGTTAAGAAAATAATGTAGAAAGTGAAGATTACTTCGATCCAAATTCCAGTTATTTTTGCAGGCAAGCTTATTTTTTTAGAAAATTCAAAAATTAATATATTAGTATCTTGTATCCGCGTTTCCTGCGATTTTTTCTCAAAAGGCATCGTAAACAGTGCAAACACTCGACATAACGAC